TCTTCCCATCTTTTATACGCGCATGCCAGCAAACATTTGTGGGCATAGGCCTATGCGGGCAAATATTTGACGGCATAGATCTATCCCCGATCTTTGACAAATTGACAGGGTGACAAGGGAACCTTAGTTGATAACATCGTAACATAAAAGAAGAATGGTTTAATCTCTTGGTTTATTTTTGAAATCTGTTGATTAAACGTAAGATAAATATTATTATGGTTTAATCTCTTGATTTATTTTTGAAATCTGTTGATTAAACGTAAGATAAATATTATTATGTGGATGCCCTTGTAAATTTGCCCTCTCTCTAAGTCTAATATTGGTCAATGATGAAATAATCAGATAATTTAGGGCTATGTCCATGCAATTAGAAAATAATCAAATATATTAAAGATTAGCGGCTTTGAGTTTCAGAGTTTGGGTTATAAAATGGTAAACTCATCATTAACATTTTGTTAAAAAATGCAAGTGAAAAATAGAATATATGGGTGGAAATAACATTTATCTCGTGGTCTTAAGTTTGATTTCCCCATTTCATCCCAATCCTAACCCAACCCGAGACCCATCCCCCAACAACTGCCCAAATTCCAATCCCAACCCCACCTCCACCAGAGACCCATCCCCAGCTCATACGCATCCTTTTTTTTTTTTTTTTTTTTTTTTTTCTAATTTTTTTTTCTTCATTTATAATATATTTTTTTTAATTTTAATCCACGTGGCGTCTACATCAGCAATCTAACAAATGTTTTTTTACCAAACTTGACGGGATGACCAATAATGTCATAAAAAAAACATAAAAGATCAACGATGATAATTTGACAAACCTGAGGGCATCATTTGTGATAAAAAAACCTTTATAAATTCCAAAGCCTGTAAAGTTGGCCTCTTCTCGAAATTCCTTTCCAAACCTGAAAAGGTTTTAAAACAGAAAAAAAATACTAAGGTTATAAATCTGTATCTTTCCTCTCTGCTTGTGATACGAAGAGAGAGCGAGGGAATTTCAACAAACAGCGCCGTTAGCAAAATCCAGGTTCTGTTTGTTTCCCTGGAAATCAATTGCTTGCCCTTCTTCGTTTTGCGTTGGATTTGTATCCACCTGTTTTTGAATCTAGGGTTTCTGCGAGTTGATTTTAGTACCGATTGTGATTGAACAGTGATTTTGAAGAGCGAGATGTACAACGGAATAGGGTTACAAACTCCAAGGGGGTCTGGGACCAATGGTTACATACAGACCAACAAGTTCTTCATCAAATCGAGGACCGGAAAGGTCGCCGATTCTTCCAGAGGCTTTGACGACGACCAGGGCATGGGCGGCGTCATGAAGAGGGCCAACAAGGACATCCTCGAGCATGATCGCAAGCGCCAGATTCAGCTCAAGCTTGTGGTGCTCGAGGATAAGCTCACCGATCAGGGTTTTACAGATGCTGAGATCGCGGAGAAGCTCGAGGAGGCTCGGAAGACTCTCGAAGCCGCCGCTGCTTCCGAGGAGCTCGGTGGACCCACCGCCGTTGTGATTTCCGATAAGAAGTAATTTCTCTCTCTTTTTTGGTTAAAGTATGAAATGTTGAGAATTGCTTGCATATTTGAATAGTAATATCTTTATTTTTCTAATTATAGTAGTATATTTTGCTAGAATGTGATTAAAAGTTGGACATTGAAATGTGATATTTTGAATTTTTTGATTAAATTTATATTTTGTCACTCAACCAGGGTTTCAGATACACAGACCCACCAAATTGCTGCCAGGAAGGAGAAGCAAATGGAAACATTAAGAGCTGCTCTTGGACTAGCTTCATCTGAATTAATAGAAAAAGATACTGATGAGATTGATGATGGACTGAAAAGTAGTAGGAAGAATGGTCCAAATGATGATGGCAGGCCTCAGGAGAGAAGCGAGCATGCATTTTTGGACAGGGACCATTCGCGGAAGAAACATGGGGAGGAAAAGCAGAAAGCAGAAAAAGATGATAAGAAAAAGAGTTTGAAAGAATCTAGGCGGAACAAGAAGGAAGAAAGCAGGAAGAAAAGGCATAAGTATGATTCTTCTGATACCGATAACAGTGGTAGTCCTCCGAAAGCTGATAAAAAGAAGAAGCGCCATGGAACTAGCAGCAGTGATGAAGATGATTCTGAAGTTGATGTTGGCAAGAAGCACAAGGTTGCAAAGAAGCACAATAAAAGAAGAAATGAAAACACCGATGATTCTGATTCTGCCACCAGTGATGATGATGCGAAGGACAGTTCAAGAAAGAAAGTTGATAAGTTCAAAAAACCTCACAGGAGGCATGATTCCGATGAAGATGATTCAGAAGTTGATGGTAGAAAGAAGCAGAAGGTTGTAAAGAAGCATAATACGAGCAGAAAGAATGACACTGATGATTCTGATTCTGCTACCAGTGATGATGGTGCTGTGGGCAGATCCAGAAAGGAAGTTGAGAAATCCAAACAACCTCGTAGGAGGCATGATTCTGATGAAGATTCTGGTTCTGATAAAGACTTCTCGAAGAGTAGAGCTGAAAAGGAGAAACTACATGTGAAACCAAGCAGGCGGAATGATTCTGGGGATGAGTCTGATTCTGACAGCAGGATGGAAAGGAAAAAAAGTCAAGTTGAGAAGCAGCGGAATCAGCATGGTAGCCGAAAGGTAGAGCGAGATAATTTTGTCGTGGAGGATGACAACAAAGGCAACAATGTTAAAAGTGGAAAAAGCAGGAAAAATTATGATGTGGATGATGAATCTGACTATGCAAGGTCCAGAAAAAGTAGAGGTGCAATAACAGAAAAGAGTAGAGGAAGTGGCAGGATTGATACTGATGATGATGTGACTGTAGAACGTGAGGACAGAGTTCACAGCAAGGATAGTGAACCACAATGGGTTAGTAGGAGGGGTAATCAGGATTACGAAGAGCATGGAGGAGGTAGAAGCCGCAGCAAGGATGATCAGGAGCATAAGGGTAGAAAGCACGGAAGGGATGAAGAGGATCATGGAATACGTGGAAGACACAACAAGGAGGAAGAAAATAGGGGAAGGAAGCATGGAAGAGACGAAGAGGATCATGAATATAGAAAGCACAGAGAAAATCACGAAGAGGAGCGTGGAAATAGAAAGCTTGGGAAAATGGAGGAAGAACATGGAAACAAGGATATTGACAGGGATCAAGTCATGGATTACAAGAGAGCAAAATATGATGATTCTAGATCAAATGAGAGGAGGAGGCACGAAAATGACAAACACAACGAAGAAGATCCTAAATATAGAAGGCATGTAGAGGATGTTGAAGAGGAGCGTGGTAATAGAAGGCATGGAAAAATAGATGAAGAAAGGGGAAGTAAGGAGACTGAGAGGGAGAAGAGGAGGCACGGAAATGACAAACATAATGAAGAGGATCACAAATATAGAAGGCATGCAGAGGATATTGAAGAGGAGCGTGGAAATAGAAGGTACGGTAAAGTAGATGAAGAAAGGGGAAGTAAGGAGACTGAAAGGGTTAGGAGGAGGCATGAAAATGACAAACACAATGAAGATGATCGTATATATAGAAGGCATGGAGAGGATGTTGAAGAGGAGCGTGGAAATAGAAGGCATGGAAACATAGATGAAGAAGGGGGAAGTAAAGAGCCTGAGAGAGATAGGCACCTGGATTACAAGAGAGCAAGATATGATGATTCTAGAAGGCATGGAAACATAGATGAAGAAGGGGGAAGTAAGGAGACTGAGAGAGATAGGCACCTGGATTACAAGAGAGCAAGATATGATGATTCTAGATCAAGTGAGAGAAGAAGATATGAAAATGACAAACATAATGATGGTCGTTCCAGGAATCGAGACTGATTTATGGTAAGTTATACTTTTTTTTAAAATTCTTTACATGCATTGTTTGTTAACTGCTTTTGAATTTTTTGTTATGTTTAGGTCACATACAAACATCAAGATTGCATACCTTTTAATAAATGTCACTGAGTGCATGTTATCAGCCATCCATTTTGTTTTGTGTCATGGGTTCCCATGCTTTAGTTTCTATGTTTTTGGTTTATAAGAATTAAGGTTGTTGTAACTGTCGTCTTCATGCAGCTTCGTTTCTGCAAAACACTATTTTCTGTAAAGAGAGGAATAAACCTATCTGTTGAAAGCTGAAACATAGTGGTTTATATGCTTAGCAAAGTGTGGCATTAGAAGTGGCAGTTGGATATGTAGTGTCAAAATAGTCTCCTCTGAGTCACTCTTTGTAACTCATCCATGCACGCTCCCATTGTTTTCTGAATCAAGTGTTTTTTCATCGCAATATAACCTTCATTGTGGTTCTAACATAAAAATGTGACAGGTTTTATCATGTCTGTCAGAGTGTGCTGAACATAATCGACTGTCGAGAGCAGAACTGGTTGTGCCAGTTGTGCCGCTGGTGATGGAGGTGACATGTTAGTTTGACCAACCGTTGAGAGCTGAACTGGTTGTGCCGCCTGTTATGGAGTGGAATTTTAGTTTGGCCGAGTTTGTTGTATTGCATTTGGAGTTGTTATGTTTTCTTGGATCTGTATCAGATGATGCAACTTACCTGTAATACGGTTTTTAGGAACGCAGTTTGAGACCTAGTTTTTTGGTTTGCCATCAGATCCAGCCCTGGAATGCTGTGATTTTATTTTGCTATTTTCACGAGTCTTTGGCATGCCTCCTTCCCTGCAGCCAAGGGAGTCTTTGAGGAAGCGATGAGAAACGCAATGCTTTTAATCTATTTATTGTAAGAATCTGAAATTCGCTGTTGGACTATTATTTTATTAGCAGCAGGATGAATGTGTCATGGCATCTGCCAATGAAGTCACGGATTTGGTTACAATTGTAATTTTTCTTCTTTGTAAGGTGACAATGATAAAACCATGAAAATTAGAGATTGACAAATTTCCTTCTAATTTGAATGTCATAAATTGATGAACTAACAATGTTATCTCGTTACATCTTAAGATATACAGACGAAAGTGGCACAAAATTAAAAATTTACATCTCCTTTTGGTCGGGTATTTTAACACATTTTATGTATAATCGGGAATTTTAACACATTTTATGTTTATACGCAAAATTCTAGGACATCATCATAAGGATCAAGGATATTGTAGGGAGGCTTTAGTTTTAGACCTAAATTTAAGCTGCAAGTTAACAATTTCCTCCCCAAAAGAATGCCCGCAACTTGAAATAATGTCGCCGGAAAGTAGAGTTGAATGTTCAGATTGATGCAGAAGGGATTACTTTTCGTCGTAGGCTGGAAACTACGACTCCCCGTTCTGTCTTCTTTTGTTTTACTCATCTATCTCTGTTTGCAGAAATGGATGGAAGATCATCCAACTGCTTGCTTATCAACAACCCATTTGCTGTAATCTTGTAGTAGTTGCTGCAGAAGCAATGGCACCAGCCTATCCACTAAGGCTTGCATCATTCTGCACGTCATCACACTTGCACAGTTTGAATTCATCTCTGCCCAAACACAATATAAAGCTCTAAAGAAAGAAACAAATCTTCAAGTACTTACAAATTTCCAGGACGCTCAACAGCTGATACTGGCATCATGGTGAAAGGGCGTGTATAAATCTGCACATAACATCATGCTATTGAAATATTATTGAAATCCTATATTCCAGTTCAATTATGCAAGTAGAAACTTGAAACAGCTGCTAATGACAGGTGAAAATGGCATGTATCGGCTATTGCGTCGAAAGAGAAAAAGATAAAGAGAATGAAGGATAATGCAAGCGAAATTTTAACAACCTCAAGAGTGAGTTTTAGCTTCACATCAACCTCCAAAAAAGATTCAGAGCCATTTGTATCCCACGACATGTGATTTCTCATGAATGCTGTAAATAGAGACCACAAGATTAGAAGACGCTTGATATACTTTTTCAAAGAAATACATGAAGAGCCTTGCAGCCAGGCCCTTAGAATAAGGGCTTTCAACAATAAATGAGCATTGGTGACCTTACAAGTCTTTCTTCCTTCGAAAGTGTAAATTCGATATTCCCATGGACTAAATACTTACTCTTCTAAAAGTTACAAGACTCTCACCCAATCTTTATTCACCTGAAAAATGGCTGTTTTGGCGTTCCACGGCTTCTGAACCCTCAAACTGCAAATAAAATTTGTAATAAGCCATCAAATGCATCCTCATTTTTCAGTGTTACAAGTTCACTTTTATATGTAAACATTTATGGGATTTGAAACTCACCCTGCAAGAAAGCATCTCAACTATACAATCTTCATTTGTTGGGGTCACTCTCAAGTCCAGCACAGGAGCAGCTTCAAAATTCAAAAGCTGAAGCTTTGGCAGGGTGCATCTGCACAGAAAAAGGGCATTGTTTTTTCCTATCTTAGACACACTTTTGAAGTTTCAAGTGAACATGGAAGAAGTCAAGCACAAAAGGGTTCCAAGGGAATGACCTGTAAGTATCAGTATCAAGGGATTCAAAGCTTTTTAAGGCTCTGGTGTTAAGCATGGCTTCAATTCCTGATTGGTGGCTGAGAAACTCACTAATGTGAAAAGTCTTGCCACCAGAGCTATCATCATGATTTGGCAGCTTAATTCTTTCCTTCTTTGCAGCACACAAATTTGCTTTCTTTGCAGTTGACTCTGAACTTAAGCTGGTTGCTTTAGTTACCTTTATCACTTCAATTTTCTTCCTGAAATATAAAAGCAAAGATTTCTTAACCATTGAATGATCACTGCTAACTTTTCTTAGATGGGTCAAGATAAAATTGCTAATTGCAATACAAAATTAGAAAAAAGAACCTGGGGTTGAAGATTGGCATATGACAGGATGGGAATGAGGCACACCCATGTACTTGTTCATGCCATTTGATAGCTAGTGTCTTCATTATGCTGCAAAATGATATTTTAAGATGCAGGAAAGCACACAAAGAAATTTAAACTATGAACTGTTGGAAAGGAAGAGATCAAAACCCTTAGCAAATCAAATTGTCTGCAAGCCTTGTTTTATTATTTTCATATTTCTGTATGGTTGAGGAGAATAGTGGGAACAGAGAGGGGAAGAAAATTCACCAGTTCTGGTTCTTCAAATTTCTTTTGGTTTTGTCCCGAAAATAAAAAAAGTTTTCTTTTGGTTTTGAGTTGGAAGAGGATAGTGGTTTTAATGTGCGGGTCGAATATTAAATGTCACTGAGAGTTGAGGAGGGGATTCAGATTTGATTTGAGATAAGATATATGATCATGAAAAGAAAAGACATGACAACTCAGCAGCTCTCAATGTCTCTCAGTCTCAACCCACAGCCACTGCAAAAATACAATTTTGCCCATGCCACCGTTGTGACTATTATTTACCATTACCACTTCTTCCTTTTATTTAATTAATACAAGTAATAGTCTAAATTATTATTTATTCTATGCTCGTTAGTGAAAAATAAACAACTTTGCATCTTGATTTATAATAACTCAAGAGAAGATTTCTGGTAATTTATCGAAAGAAAAAAACAAACGAGAAACGAGAAGATTTCTAATACATGGTCATTACACTTCTCTCATTACACTTCCAACACCAACCTCTAGCATATTTGCAAGGAAATAGTTCCTATCAAATCAATGAACACTCTAGGGCTTGAGATATTTCAGATATGTGGAATATTACATTCCTCAAAAACAAAAAATGTCTATATAATCTAAACTCCCAACCTAAACAAAATGTGAATAAAAAATGGGGAAAACACCAGAGATGCAGATAAATATTGCTGTAGGAATGTCTCAGTCCCAGGCTTCAAAACCTAATTCATCAAAATAATTAAACTAAGCCTTCTGAATCACCCTTAGCTTAGCACTTCTGGAACGGCTATTCAGGCTCTCTTCCTTTTCAGATGGTGTAATTGGTCTCTTAGTGAGAATTGTTCCTCTCAAGCCTTGTACCATTTGTTTGATCCACGCTTCACTTTCATCAATGTCATTCTTGATCTTTCTCAAATCTTTCATCCGCGCTTCTTCTTCATTCATATCAATATCCCCATCTCCGTCTTTGACATTGATGATGTCCAGAAATGTTTGTTTCACAATTCTGTCTTCCAAACTATGGAAAGAGATGACCGCTAGCCTACCACCAGGTGCAAGGCAGTCAAAACAAGCATAAAGAGAATCCTCCAGAGTCTTCAGTTCATCGTTGACAGCTATCCTTAGAGCTTGAAAGACCCTTGTAGCTGTCTTAATCCAACCTTGCCTTCCTTCTGTTGCAATTGAATTCGATTTTAGTAATTGAAACTTTTTTTGCATAGCCATGACCAAAACAAGCAAAGGTACTATAATTTTGACAGAAATATACAATGCAAGGCCAAAGTAGAACCACAACAGAGAACAAGAGGATACCTACCTCGACTCAGAGGAGTCACACTTTTTATAAGATCTACTAGATCACCAGTGGAATGCAATCCACCATTCAATCGGGCTTTAACAATTCTATTTTGAAGAGAGTACCAGTTACTTTCTTCCCCATACTCTCGCAGGATGCGCCCTACCTCAGTCTCTGGCCAAGAGTTTAAAATGTCTTCAGCTTTCAGACTTGCCTGTCATAGCCCTACTCCAATCAATTAAATGAAACAAACATTTAAAATGATGATGCAACCAGTAAAACATAGGAATCATGTATGTCATTCTGCCTAGAAACTGTTCATTCACCCTACAATATCACCTAAAACTACAATGAACCACAGACATTGTTGGCAGAGGGCTTTAATTTCGAAAAGAAAATAGATAACTAAGCCTGGTTCTAGAAGTCAAGCGTCATGGGTGCATAAAAGTTATAACAAGGGGATCATAATTGGGGCCATTCAAATCTTTTCAACCCCACATGAGCCCATAATAGGCACGTCCAGCAGTCCATCCTCAACTGTGTCCTAAATATTAAATCCTCATGAATGTCATGGCACATCCAATCCTCATACTTATGTAAAATATCGTCAAGGGCAGCAATTTGCTGCTTGTACATGCATGTGGCGTAACTGTAGCCTCACCATATGCTTCTGATGAGAAGTGATTACAGCCTAAACATCAGTATAATTGGCATCACATTTGAGTTAATTCACTGACGCGAGCAACCCTGATGGACAAGTATAGAGAGAACGGCATTAAAGACTCCCAGATGGAGTCCATCTAAAGAAATAATTATCACCATAAACATTGCAACAAAAACTAGATTGACTCAATAAGATGAACAACAGTCTATAACAAAGTTCTACCAGCTAAAAGACTTCAAAATGGAGAAACCAGGCAGCCTACACTTGCACACTCAAATTTTTTATATGCATAATTAGAGAACAAAAAAAAAAAAAAAACTTTTTCCCAGTCTCCATTAGATATAAGAATGTCGAAACATCTGTTACCTGAGGATCCATTCGCATATCAAGAGGACCATTAGCAAGCACACTGAACCCTCTTTCAGGATCGTTCACTTGCATTGATGACATTCCCAAGTCCATTAAAATCCCATCAATCCCAGTGTCAAGGAGTGTCTCATCCACATCGCAAAGCAGAGACTTAACATATCTGAAATTCTCCAGAAAGGTGGAAGCTTTGAGGGTCGAAGAAGTTGGGTTATGCAAAACAGAGTTGATCCGAGCTCGAGCCTTCTCAAGCGCCACAGGATCAACATCAAGTCCTACATACACTTCCATTTCTGGATGGCCTTCAATTATCTGCAAGTAATTAACAATAAATCCAAAAACTCAACTCACAAAAACTTCAAATGAAGAGAGATGAAGAGTGATTACTGACCGCAGAGGAATGCCCAGCAGCTCCAACCGTACAGTCGACGAAGTACCGGAGCTGTTTGGATGCCGAGAAAACATCCAAAACTTCACCAAGCATGACTGGAATGTGGGTGGCAGTATCTCCATAACGTTTAATGGTTTCCAATTTGAACTCTCTATCAGAACGCGTTCTCCTCTTTTCTTTTATCACCACTCTCTGCTTCAGCTTCTGCTTCTCCTTCTCCTTCTTCTTCTTGCTTGTGGTGCTGCAGTTGCTGCTGATGCTAGAGGCGGTTGTGAGGCTTCGCAGACGGAATGATAACGAGGAAAAAGAGAAGAGCTTTGAGGCTGATGTCGATGCTATTGCCATTTGTTTCTTCCAAATCTATAGCCACACTGATGTGGTTTTGATTTTAATTTTTGAAGCCCTAAAGTGGGATGCTGGGTTGGCCCAAACTCCAAACTCCACTACCCAAAAATCAAAATCAAAATTTCAAACCTTTAAGGGAAAATTTTACGAATTACACATGAAAAGAAAATTTAGGCCTTGTTGTACAGCGCCGCTTGAAAAGAATATTTAAGCAACGTGCTATTTATGAACAGGCGCATTAGTCATTTGATTTTAAAATTTGACATTTTGGAGTTAGAATTTGAATTGGGGTTTATGGGAATGAATTTTGGCATTTTTGGGTTTTGAGTTTGGATTTGAACATCTTTTAGTTAGAGTTTGGCTTGGGGTTTCGTGTGTGAATTTGGGCTTTTGAGTTTAGAATTTAGCATTATAGAGTTAGAGTTTAGATTGGGGTTTCGGTTATGATTTTGACATTTTAGTGTGTCGAGTTTGGATTATGGCATTTTGAAGTTAGAGTTTGGATGAGGGTTTTGGGTATAAACTTTGGAGTTTTGAGTTTGGATTGGGGTTTTGGGAATGAATTTTGGCATTTTTGTAGGTTTGTGAGTTTAAATTGTATATGAATTTTGGCTTTTTGTGGTTTTAAATTTTGAGTTTAGATTGGATTTTGGGGTAGGAATTTTGGAGTTTGGATATAAATTTTAGCATTTTGGGGTATTGAGTTTGGATTAGGGTTTCGAGTACGAATTTTGACGTTTTGGGGTTTAGAGTTTGGATTAGGATTTCGTGTATGAATTTTTGCATTTTTGGTTTAGATTGAGATTTCAGGTATGAATTTGATGTTTTATTGAGTTTTGAGATACAAATAATTGATGGAATCCTAGGTTTAATCCGAAGTATCTCACAACCTACATAGACCACGGAGGAAGGGTTGGGAGATACGCTCATTGAATTAACTATTAGCAGAAATTTTGCATTTGCATTAATGTGATGATGGAAAATAAGCAAAGCTTTGCTCTTTGCTTATTGCAGATAGAGGTTGGAAAGTCTATTTCACAGCCCACCGTTTGATTAGGTCTAAAGCTAATCTTTGGTATGTCAACTGTCAAGCCGCCAAAAGCAGTTGACGACGGAGAGAGATAGGTGGCGGCATAGCTACTTTCATCCCCTACCCATTTGTCATCTCCTTTAATATTACAATATTATTATTAACATTATTAAATAAATTATATGAGGATGATGGAAATATATGGTCTGCCTGAGCTGTTAGCATGTTGCCCTGCTCATAAACCATTTTCTTCTTTTTGACTGACTGCTTTAGTTTTAAATTCATCACTCTTTATAATCCCATTGCTTTCTTTATTTATTTTTCCTTTTTTATTCTATGTCCACTGCTTGTTGCTTTAATCATGAAAACAAACTAGGTCCACATTCTCTCTCTCTATCTCTCTCTCTCTCTCTCTCTCTCCTTCCTTTTTAAAGTTGATCATTTAGGTCTAAAAACAGGTTTGGTTGTTGTTGGTATTGGTGCAAGTAAGTAGTGATGTCGACAACAATGGATAAGCAAGTAGAAGCAAACCCATCATCATCACCATCACCATCATCATCTCCAGGAAGAGGAAGAGAAGAAGGACTGAAGAGAGAAGAAGAAGATCATGAAGGTGAAGGAGGAGGAGGAGGAGTGGCTCTTCATTTTGAGGACAGAGCAAGAGCAGCCCAATATCCCACTTTCATAGGGAAGCATAAACTGGCAGCTTCTATATCCCATCTCCATAACCAAATCGACTTCATCCAGGTCGGTCTTGCATTTCATTCTTCTTGTGTATACCATAATTGCTAGAAAAACCAATAATTTATCACTAAAAACAAAAGTTATGACTTGTGATGCAGAAAGAGCTGACCCAACTTGAGACAGTAGGTGAATCCTCCATTGTCTGCAAAGAGTAAGCAAAATCCAATGTTAATCTGTTTTATCAAACTTCAATCCAACCCAACATCACTTTTTTTCTTTTATTTATTTATTTAATTTTTAATTTTATAAATGTTTATGGTGAATCTCATACAGGCTCATTGCCAGCGTTGAATCCAGTTCTGATCCCTTGCTTCCATGGTAAGAGATAATTATAATTCCCACCATGTCCCTTCTTTCTTTGTTGTTGTTTAAGGACTTTTTCTTTTCTATCTTAATCTTGACTGGGATGGAATATTTTTTGTACACACAGGACTAAAGGTCCAGCTGATGTAGGGTGGGATAGGTGGTTCAGAGGAGCTCACAACTCAAGAAGTCACAATCGCTGGATCTAAAAACTTGTTCACTTTCTTCAAAATCAGTGTTTTCTTTCTTTTATGCATTATCTTCAGGCAGGGGAAAATAGGAGGTTCTGTTTTTGGTGCACTTTCTTTGACCATGATTCGAAGAACTTATTGGGAACAACATAATTGGCATACAGACAAGCAAACATAGAAAATTACAAGAAAAATCGTTTGGGATATGCCCCTTTGAGCATCTGTAATATCATCGTACTTACTTTTTCGATTTGGTTTTTGAATTTTTTTTATTTTTGGTCACAACTTGTCTTTGCTTGCTAAAGAGGCCTCAGTAATTAGAAATTTTATTTCAATTATTTTTCTTATTGCCGCAATAGTGCATCAATCCACAAGATTGATTTCATCTACTTTCCCGTGACGAAGTAACATTTGAAGCAGAGGAAATAACACATGAAACTCGCTTTATTAACACTTCACAAAACCTACTTGTACAATGACTAGCCGCAGAAGCTATTAGCTATGTGAGAAAACATCACACTCAAAACAATTTTGACAAATCTACATTCAAGACAACACATGCCATGATACTTAACATTGTTTGGCATATATAACAGGCACGGTAACATCCTTATGAACAGAAAAATGACCACCTGGTTAGAACCAAAACATTCGACCAGGACACGGCACGCATCACATTTCCTTTTCCGATGTGCCAGCGAGCATGGCAGCATATGGCAAAATGTCTTCAAAGGCAAGGGACAGGGTAACCTACATTACACACGGGACCAGCCTTCAGGAAGCCCACAATTACTAGGTTCAACTGCTTCTGGAACAAAGACAAGAGTGAGAAGGGTCAAAATAAAAAATGATTTCCCAAACAAATCCTGAAAATCAGCGGGAGCATTTATCCATTTTTAATTGAAGTAAAATTAAAATGGAAAAAAAAACTCATAAAACATAATTTACCTAAATAAGGGAAAAGGAATCAGAAGAGAAAGAATGTACAAGATAAGGTTAAGAAGAGGGGGGAAAAAAAACAAACCAAAAGAGGAAAAGGTAACACAGAAGATTCAGCAAGCTAGTTTATGGAACAAAAAGAAAGTAGTTGGACAGTACAATTGCAACTAACCTCAAAAATGCAGGTCTTCAGAATGCAGGTTGAAGTTTAAAAATATTCAAGTCACCTCCCCTCTATCAATATCTACAAAAACATGCATATTACATTCAAATATTAAATAGCAAAAGCAAGCATCTTATACAACTTGCGATGAAACATTTGCTGTCAAAAGCGTCCCACGAAACCCCTCTTCAGTGTGTTGCACATCCATTTTCTGGTCAGATAGCTCATCTGTATAAAAAAAATTTAAAATGCATGTTAAGGTTATTGAAATTGGCCAATGCATTACAATCAGACCAACTACAAACATTTCCTAAGCACCATATTTTAAAGAATGTCCAAATAACTAACAACATGAAATTACCAGCAATATCTCGGTTCTCATGGATTTCTGAATCGTTCACCCAAAGCTTATCCCCAGGGAATATATTCACGTCCGCAAGAGTAGCAACTTCATCATCAATTATCCGAGTACCTTTGTGAAGTACCTGGTTTTCCTTAACAACCTGCATAATGTAAAACAGTAATCAGATGCCAACAGGAACAAAACAATTTTAACTCATAGTTAATTTATATATTGAAAACAACAGGGGCACAACACGAGAGTGCCACCTTAAAAGGACAAGTTGTGAAATGAAACCACGATACTTTCAATCTTGGAAAGATGGATGTGTAAACCAACAAAAAGTGTACATAGCACTTCTGTTTGTGCATGTGTGCATTAGTGTGTATGCTCGCATGTATGTGTTAGCTTCAAGTAGCATACCCCAAAAGATTCCCATATCATCATTTTTAACTGGTATATGGTTGTGGAACCAGAGACTTTCAAGCTTATCTGATCCCCAGTCTTTGTCTTCCGAGAGCGCTTGGAAACTCGGCGATCTGGATCAAAATTTGTTTCAGATGGTTTTAGAATGGATTTTGGAGCTTCCTTGCCATGTATAAAGTACACATATATGTCCTCATTGCAGTAGTCAAGCTTCCGCATTAGTTCCCTGCTTTCTCTTTCTCCAATGCAATCCTCACATATCTAGGAAAATTGAGACACCTAATCAGAAGAACAACTTTAAAAATGCTCCTTGTAACTTGCAAATTTTGATGTAATCCACACTCAAAATTTGTAAAATTTGTAGATTTTTTGTGTGAACAATCTAGCAAATGTTGCTGGCACTTAAATTCTGCATAATAACAAAACTGATTACTAAAAGATAGACAGGGAGAGACAGAGAGAACTAATTCCACAAGGCAACTTAAGCTACTACTTTCCATAAGTTAACTGGAGTAACCAATTATCCTACCAGAAGACAACAGATCCGAAGATTCCAGAGATTGGAGCTCCTAATGTAGACAAATTCTACTTTAAAAACGAACAGGCAAAACAAGTTTCCTCCGCTATGCATGACAAGAAAAGAGAAAATAAAAAAAGGTAAGCCTTTACCTCAGGACAAGTCCTAATCAGGAGTTGTCTAGACTCAACTTCACCATTTACTGGATTTGGAGTACTCAGATCCTCCTCACACATTGGCATCTCTTCGCAGGACCCTGCCAAATTATTTCCTTCAGTTTTACTTAACTCAATTTCAGCAGATATGCCCTTCTCCTGGACACCACCCCATTCCTCACAAAAGGATTTCCAGTCACTCTCAGGAATGATTATTAACCCATCCACCTAGAATCCACAGAGAAAAAAGAAGCAAGAATTCCAACATTAGAGCATTCACACAAGATTAATCAAAAAAGAAAGCTGCAAGTTTACCATTCAAGATGGCCTCTCTCTCTCTCTCTCTCTCTCTCTCTCTCTCACACACACACACACACACACACACACACACACACACATTTATTCTTACTTACAGGGGGAGACTTCTGGGAAATTAAGCCACGTTTAGAGACCAGATCAACAGGCCTTTCTAGAAGTCGTGAATGCTGAAAGAAAGCAAGAGGAAGGTTAAAATAATTTCATAACACTAATAACTGAATAAAAAGAAGGCAGATTGAACATGGACCAGAATAGTTCTCAAATGCGCAACAAAACTTTTAGTTCAAATAATCAGTCCATAACTTGATGCCAGGATTCCTCAACTTGTTGAATTGGGACCAATGGTAAGTTTGTCTGACTTATGAGTATGGTTAAAGTAAAAAACATGCATATCGCCATTTATGGTCTACCAGAGGTGCCGGATATTCAACAGAATCACTGAGCAGAAAAGTTGCAAGTTACCTTTTCACACTTCAGCAAATCCATGATGCCCTCTAATGTTTCAGGTTTCTCCACTGAGGAAACATTCTTGCCACTTGCAGTAATGTAGTTTTTCCACTTCGAAAGCCAAGAAGAGGGTATCAAGTAATACTTGCAATCCAGAGAAAGTGACACAGTTTTCCCTGTAAGTAATTTCTCATGAGTCTGGCGCTGTTTGAGCCTCACCACTCTGCAGCACAAATACTGGTTAACGCAATTACAGATGCTTATCAGTCTGCTAGGAGTAAAAGTTTAAATTACCTCAAAGAATCCTCCATGCATGCAACTTCAGATAGTTCATCACTGCATTGGGAACACTGTGCAGAGTCTAAAGGAAACGTTGAACAACCCAAGTGATCATCAGGCTTTACTGCAAAAGCATCTTCATAAAGGAAGAGCCAGAGATTCTCGGGAACAAGCAATCTCTTAGCACCAGTGGCTTGGTCAGGCATAAGTTGCCCATGAGGACACCTAATTGAAGCTGTTGGTCCTGCATCAGCTTCTGATGGAGCATCAAGAATTTTTCTTTTAAGCCACTGTTGTAACCTACAAATAGAAACTAACTAGAATTACTATAGAAAAAGAAAATGTGATGCAGCAGAAGATTGAAGAGGTCTGAAGGAAGGATAAAAAGCAACAGAATAGTTTGCAGCCATACCATGCTTTAGAAACAAAATATTCTCCATCTGAACACCTCCCTGCAAGTGCATCCTCAGCAACTTGCTTCATGAGTATTCTCCTATCCCTATAGCTGTCAGCACATACTACATTTCGAGCCCCCTCAGTAAGGCAAACCAGGCAGTAGGCATCAGAGGCCAGTATTGGGCCCCCTTTATACTGAAATTACCAACATTCGGTTAAAAAGGAAGTAAAACACATAGTGCAACAGAAGAAAAACAGAGACATGGAAAAGATAAAACAAGCAAACGAACATTTGACAGCATCAACACATAAGAAACCAGAAAAAGACATCAGGTTCATCACATATAGCATCAAGATGCAATTTTCGGCTGTATGTAACCACAAACAAAATACAACATTCACACAGTATTAAGTGAGTCCAAAATACTCAAGCAAATACCTTAGAGAACAACTTGGTCCATGCTTTAGCTGACAACCGCTTTATGGAGCCAACCTTTGATGCTGGAACTTTTTCATGTGAACATAGGATGGATGTGTTGTCAAGAACACTGCAAGTGATTACTGTGTAAGCCCAGAAAAATATGCAAAACAGAGACCCTGACATTGTATTTCCAGCAGAAAGAAAGTTAAGAACTAGAAATATAAACAAAGACAGCAAGAATGTCCTTACGGTGAAATCATGTTATCAGCCCACTGACGGAGCCAGTCTGTTGAAATCCAGAAAAAGGATTCCTCCAAAGATCGAACAGGCGCTTCAGACAAAATTGAACGCACTTCCTGTCTCCGCTCTGTGATATGATTCATCTCTTCTTCTTTTTTAAATTTGTATTTTTGGCAAGCATCAAGATATGACGCATTAAAGTTTTTAATCTCTTCACAAAGATGAGATGGAAGAGAACTACAAACAATATCACCTTCTATCTTCCTATCATTGGCATTAAACTCTACATTCACTTTCTCATCATCCTTTCGGCAACGCCTGAGATTATACATCAGCATATATGCATCACTAGATGAAAACGTCTCCACATGACCAGAAATAGATTCCGTAGGTTGTTGATGACTGACATCCACAATATCACCATTCGAAACAGCATTAATTTGTCCTGTGCGAGATGGATGAACTGATTCAGGTTTAACATTAACAGGCTTGGTATTGGAACCTGAAGTGCCTTCTCCAAATGGGTGAGAACCTAAATTTGAAACATGCTCATCATCAAATTCCCACCATTGTCCTGCCTTCTCATCCTTGATATGCGCTACATAGTGGCCACTGTTAACTGCAGTCCCCTTGTGAATCAGCACGGCTGACAAGTCATATATTGATTCAAGCTGAGAAGGCTCAGATAGCCTCTGCCTCATATCAAGTACTCCAGGAAAAACAAATGCAGAAGTAATTTTCTTCTTTGTTGTCGTCTACTGACACAAATCAATAGAGAAGAAAATATTAAAATAACTAATAACCACAAGCCAATCACCACAACTTCTATAACTAACCATATAACCAACAAGTGTACAACCTCTAATCTGCATCAATATCAAGCATGTGTATTACATAAAACATAGCTTAGATGGCTTTTCTGTGCTCATCAACAAGTTAAATGGAAACTCTACATTCTCAAGAATATCATAACTACCTTTGGAAGGAAAACACAACGCTTAAGCTGAAAATTCAGAACATCAGGCAATGTCCGCAACTTGATGCTTCGGGTAGCATCAACTCTTGTTTTACACGACTCACAAAAATATTGATTCTCTCCATGAAGCTCTTCAACGCTAAGATAATCATCTAAACTCTCATCCAAACTTTTCAAACCCTTCACATTCAACTCCAGCTCATAGAAATCCTCCATGTTGGAAGAAGCTTCAGAGTCCTTTCCACATTGTGAGCACCTACATACATGCAAGGATAAAATAATAGCCATGTGAGATCAGCTGAAGGAATAACTGTGGAGTCACTTTTATATGAAAAAGCAAATGTACTCAAACATTTGCTGCCGGGGCACAAACATAATGACAAAAATAATCCAAATGAAAAAAATGAAAAAAAAGAAGCACAGCTAAAGACTTCAAAAGTTACAAATGACGGAAATATTAAACAAACTTCAGAAGTATTTCTAATGCCACACCAGTCACTAAGAGGACCAAGAACTTTATAAGTCCATCTAGAGAAATATGAACATTACAAATCTCATTCACAATTCTTTTACCAAAAAAATAAAAAAAAAGGGAATAAATAGTTTTCTAATGGAGGGGAAGTATTTACTTTTTTTTTTTAAAAGGCTAACATCAACAAGAAAATGGCAAGAACGCATTAGGAAAAAAACCGCTAATCAGTCAATAATCATTTGACAATTTTCATTTCCACTGTTATTGGCTCCCTTGTGTATCACTTTCATTGGTATCTTGATCCCATTAAATTTTTTAAAGACAGGTTGGATAATTTACATCATTCTATGAACTCAGTCACTACCTATCCAAACGAAATAAGAAGACACCACAATGTTTGTGTGACATTTTAAACAATTGACAAACATCAATTGGTAATCCCCATAATGCAAAAAGAACATAAAAATAACACAGAGAAAGGCCTTATCTGAAAGAAGTATAATTCTACTCCAATCAGATTTGGTTTTACCTGGTAACGTGTGATACACTTCCACGAAAAAGATCTTGAACAATAGATTTTGCCTTTGTAACTTTAGAGGTGCTCAGACAACGTTCAAGTAAAGAAAGAAGTAACGTTAGAAACTCATGACTGTCCTGTTGAACTCCATTATCTAACTCCAGCGTTTTTACAAATGGAGATGAGTCTATGAAAGCCATTTTACTAGCATGCAACTGTGCAAAAAGCCGAGAAAGTTGATTCAACACTGGCTGTCGTTCCAAAACCTCAGGTTCAACCAAGAAGATACCTTCACGGAAGGATTTATTCATGTACAAACATTGAAGTATGCTGTTAGCATAACATGTTGCACCAAGATTTGTGAGGCCTGCAGGAGAATCAGCAGAAGGACGAAGATCCTGAGAAGGGTCTGGGCCAAGATTTTGCATAATCTCTGATGTCTTCTGCCATAGGCCAGATTTCCGACTTCCATTAGGAGGTGGAATTAGCCCACAAAAGCAATTTGGGTTATCTTTAGTATTCACACGGCAACCTTGACAAACTGGCTTTGAAATTTTATATAGCGTATTTATATCCTCATTTGTTACTTCACCTGTTGCATGTATTTTCCTACACAATACCAACCATAATGTGAGCCAACACATAACAAAGGTGCACATCAAGCAACAGAAATAACTTCTTTTACATAAACCAAAAAAACTTTCTACCTCAATATTTCAGAAGTGGTGTCAACATTATCCCCTTGTCTATTTCTTTTATTTTTACTGCGTGTACTTGGTCGGCTCATTTTAACCACCGACCAACCCTGCAATGGGCATGAATGCAAAACATGAATTCTTCAAAATTTTACAAAGGATATGTGCACACAAACACAGAGAGAGAGAGAGAGAGAGAGAGAGAGAGAGAATCTAGAATTACAGTCACAAACTATACTCTCTAAAATCATTTTACAATGATCTTTTTTGCAATAGGTTGTAGTCAAAGTGTACAAGCAGTTTATATACTAGCCCAATGCGTTCCATATCACCGCTGTGGGATACTGGGTTTAAGGGTCATTAGAAAACTAATTTTTAAGTGTTAATGGCTCCATGTCTATTTATTTTTATAATTTTCGGAATCTTTGGAGAAATACAGTTTTTGATACTCTCAGATAAAGCATGTCCTTGTACCTTGTTTGTCACAACACAACGGAAGCTTGCATTCTGATAAAATTCAGATGCAAAGACTTCCATCGTGCATTCTCAAAGCTAGTCACGAATACATAATAAGCAAATGAAAATAAAATGATCTTCAAGCAGCAGTTTCCAGAAAGAAAAAGGAACAAACAAAACGAAATTAACAGAAAGAAAAAATAACCCTAGAAACTACAAGAACGACAAAAACAACCTGATCGAAACCAACAACAAAAAAAGTAATCAAATCACAATATCCAAGCATGTTAAAGCAGAAGAAAATTAGAAAAAAAAAACATATAATCAATAGAGAAATAGCTCAAGAGGTACCTGGTTCTGAGGTTTGAGGAGCAGAGGAGGAAGAGGAAGGTGGACCCTTGGAGCTGGAGCTTGGAGGAAGATGAAAGAGACGAGCCTTTGGTGAGAAATTGAGGAATAAAAATAAAAATATATGATTTTGGGGTTTTTTTTTAGGTCAGCGTGCGAGGAATGGCTTCGATTTTGGTAACACAAAACTTGGTCTTGTTTGTTTTTTTCCTAATTTATTTTTATAAAATAAATAAAATTAAAAATGGTTGGAAAAGAGAGGGTTGAGCCACGCAGGGAAGGAGAGGGAGGAGCCGGACAGACAGACAGACGGACAGAATTTTTTTTTTTTTTTTTGGGGGCTTTGAATGAGAGTCGAGCACGGGGGCTGGTCAAGATCCAGTCAGAATCTGAGATGACTTTTACAGTCTCACATCAGTTGAAATTACCGCTCTATTATTAACCATCCACCTCAGTCCAAGTGTCATCAAATGAGTGGAATGAGGTAAGAGTTTTTTTTTGGGTAAAAAATGAGGTGAGACTACGTAGTTAAAAGGAAAAACCTCTATTTCATAAAATAAAATAAAAAATAAAAAAACCTCAATATTTTTTTACTAAGAAAATGAATCAATCATGTTTAATGTTTGTCAAGAGGACTAGTCTAATGAAAAAGAGTTTTGACTTGCAAATTAGAGGTTTTAAGTTTGAACCTTTATGACATCTTGGTTGTATGTGTGAAAAACTCCACATTCTTGTAAAAAAAAAAAAAAAAAATTTCCAACCAGCCCCGGTAACCCATTAAAGACCCAACAAAAGAATAACCCGTCCAAGAAATATTGAGGATCTAATTTCATATGGTTTCTCCAAGAAATATTGAGGATCTAATTTCATATGGTTTCTCTTATGATATCCCGTCGATCATTTTCGTTCCTAACCAAATTTGCTAAATTTTTTTTTTTCCTCCTCTCCTTTATTATTTTGAACAAAGAAGTATGAGAACTCCACAGTTTAGATTCCACTTGTATAAAAAAATAAAAATTACAACTCAAAATATGAAAAATATAAAAAATGACCGCAGCAAAGACTCCCTTTGGACCATTTGCACTACAGCAGTTAAGTTTCAGCTTTCCCAATCTGGAAAGGTATTTGGACCAGCTCCAACAATTGAACCAGAAGAGAAAAACTCACAAGATGTACAAGATTACAATCAATCCATGTATTCTATGATCATAAAGCCCCAAAAGTTTATCGGCAAGGCAACTCAACATATTCTTGTACACGACCACGCATATAGGCAAACCCGTAAATTCATCCAACAGAAAATAAACCCCATACCTACAAGCGAAGGGAAAAGAAGGCCTAATTGAGGAAAAGAACATCTTAACCCTACTCATGTTTTTCTAAACTAACTGTATCGCCGGACGCAGGCTTTTCGGTTTCTTCCTCAATCTCTGAACCAGCTCTAACAGGGCTGGTACTTGTGAGTACACTGTCATCCAAAGGGTCACCAGCGTGGTTTGTTGCCTCACTGCTGACCCCTGCTCTCAAAGAGCTCAAACTAGGGGTGATAGGCGTGTTAGAACCAGAAACATGCCCTTCCAAATGTTTTGGCTGATTTAGGGCGTGACAGTGCGGGCAATAATAAGTGATGTATGGGAAATCCTCCTTCTTAGCAAGCCCTGCATAGAGACAAAAAAAGTATGAGATCATTATTTCAACCACAAGAAAGAAAGAAAACAACTGGTAGTGAGGAAAGTGCATGAGTGTGCACCATAATCAGGCCTTTCCTTCACTTGCTTCTATGAAAACATGAAAAAGCAACAGTGCCTACTCAGGATGCAGAAAACCTACCATTGTGCATATGACAGTTGCCACATATGAGCGCATAAGACTGTGTTGGATCCTCACCCACAAGTAATGCTGCAATCCGAGCAATCCATCCTCCATCCTGTGGGGATGCTCCCTGAGGACTATGATGACTAACAATCAGTTGACTATGCTCAGAAGCCTGATGACCGTCAGACCTTGCAGAATGAGGTGCCTCCTCTTCAGGAATAGTCAATGGGACACTCCCTGTACTATTAGATCTGGTGTGTACTGGTTTACGGTTTCGAAGTTCACCAGAATGGACAAGTTCAACATCATAGCTTTTCCCTGTTGAGGCATTAATCTCAGATTCATCTCCCACGTAGAATTTCAGACCTGAATCTGTACCCAACTTAGATGCTAGGACAGTTGCAGCAGCTGCCTTTGCTGCTGGGTCAGGATCATATCTCTGCATAAAAGAATATAACTTAAGTTCAAACCAAGAAAACAGAGGGGGACAAGCAAGGTACATCATCACATATACCATTACTCAAACACAAACCATTGCAGAGTTCCCCTAAAAACATAAATAAATAAAATAAAATAAAACCCAGCATAAAGGGCACAGGTGTCTTGTTCATTACAGTGCTTTTTTTGAAGAGATGTTCTCTCAGAGAAGCAAAAACTGATTCAGCCAACTACAATAGAAATAAGTATGCCATATGACTATTGAGAATTTGCAATCAATCTAAATGAATGGTTTCTTAAGGCCACTTTACATGACCTCCTGGAATTCTTCCAAACAGTGTTTGTCTATATCATTTAAGAAACTCTAGACAACCATTAACACAGTCAAATGAGAGGAAGGGGCAAAAGGCATCAACAGCTACCCTATTCACCTGATAAAAGTTCAACAAGCTAACAAAGAATACCAAAGAGAATTCAATAATGAGGCATAAAGACAGATAACGAATGCAATATAACAACAAAACTTGCTTCTAATAATTACCTGAATAAGCTGTTGAGTAGTGTAATAATTTGTCCTCTCTTTTAGTTCATCAATTTTTGCTTGCCTTTCAGCCCGAAGCCTTTCCAGGGTTTTGGCGTCCTTGCGATCACCTAATACATTGAAAGGTTGAGATATCAGATTTTTAATACATGCACACATCAACTTTAGACAAGTAATGGTCACTAAGTTTCCGCATTAGATTGGAAAACTTGATTCATAGAAAAAGAATGGGTTCATACAACCAATCATCCAAATTATTCAACAAACATTTTTAACAACAGCAATGAACTAATGAAAACGTCATAGGTCTACTTTTCTAGCTTTCTTCCAATGGTCCATTACAGCACCGACATGGTGTTAAACAACTAAAAAACATGCCTGATGTTTCAGTTTGTGCTTCCTAAGATACAGGTATGCATGGAAGCTGTTAAGCATAAACTCAAAGCATACATAAATCAAACATTAACATGTCAAGACAATCAAAATAGGTACAGCCTGGAAAGAGACTTTTGCTCAAAGAAATATGCATGATATTTACCATATGTGTACATATTGAAAACAGTATTGAACTTCAGACATTGTAGATCAGGTATCTTTTATGAACTAGCCACCCACCAGTACTGTGCCCAATTCCAGTTCAAAGATTTGCGAATTTCGTAAACGATTCCCAAGAAAATTCCCAAATTTCATAACGCTTATTTTCCAACAGTTCAAACTCACAACTAATAAATTTAAAAAGAACTTCCTCTTGCATGGAAATTGGCACACAATTAAAATACCAGTCAGCACGAAAAGTCCCCCTGTGAGGAACGATGTCTAAAGGACAGGTCCTCAGTGACTTTCAACAAAAATAGTCTAACAAATGACCAACAATTTAATGTGTGATGGGCCTGTGTGAGGGGACCTTTCTTACTCCAAATGTCTTACGTGGAGAAGCTACACACCCCATGCACAAAGAATGTACTATGAAGCTCAAACAAATTCAATAAACAAAGTAAGAAGTAAACCACGGAATGATGAACCAATAAGCCAAAATGCTTCCTAACAAGCCCAACCCAAGACACTATGACAACCATGGAACCATATACCTTTTGCAAAATAAGTCTCAGATATTAATAAAATAACTAGAATCGTCACATGAATATTAAAAATTAAGGAAGTTGCAAGGTTTAAGATACTCACGCATTCTTGTGAAGGTCACAAATGCTGAATACGCAAGAGAAGATAAAGCAGGCAGAAGAAACATCGGAAGAATTCGAAATGTCCTCATCTTCCAATCTAAATTTGTTGCTCTCGTTGATATTATAGCATAAGCAATTGCAATAATCTGAAAATGACAAAAGTACGCAAACACATATCATTCCCTTCTAATATTTCACTTGCCCAACTCGTTCAAACTCTATATGCCAATAAACATGACGATGAGTATGGTGCAATTCTAGATAGTATTGCCACAAAAGTTCAGAATTCTTAATCAGCCAAAAAAAACCCAGTTGCTGCAACAAAGTCCTAATTGATGGGTCCTATGAATGACATTCCAATACCTCAAATAAGACAGAGAATAGAATGAGATGTCTGCTCATGCGCCTCCACGTTATGGACCTCCTCTGCATTCTAGCAAGGACAGTGGCTTCTTCTTTGGAAATGTACTTGAGCCGCTTCTCGAAATCATCGCCGTGTAATCGGAAGATCCCACTGAACATTCTGGAGAAAAGTCCCTTGCGCTTCTTCTTCGCAACCACCTCAGGAACAGTTGCCGCGTCTTTCTTGTTGGCTTCTCCGACGACGCCTTTGTCGTCCGCCATTATTATACCCTTTCAAATTGCTCTTTTGAATTGAAAGCGAATAGCAAATCAATCATCAATAAGCAAAAGCAATATGCAGAGACGAATAAAAAATCAAAATCAGATCTGGAAAATTACGAAAAATTGTGGGAGAGAGAACCTTGAAAGTAGAAACCAACCTTGGCTTTTCAGATCTTTGAGGCGGAGAGAGCGAGGGAAAGTAATGATGAAAGTCGACAAGGAAGAGAAGTCCGTGAGGGCAACGCAAACGCAGAGCTTTGATCGATGATGGAGAGAGAGAGTATCGGCGATGGAGTGAGAGTGTCGAGGGAAAAAGGATGAAGGAGAGAAAGGGCGTCCTCTTCAAAAATGGGGCTTTGCTTGCTTTCTCGTTTTCTTCCCTTTTTTTTTTTTTTTTTTTGGGTTTTTTTTTTTTCC